TGATCAATAGCCATTGGTAATACGGAATAACCACAATAATCAATATGTTCACCTTAAAGAAAAAAAGAATTTTATTAAAAACTTGATAAGTAAAATTTTCTCATATTACCAATAAGATTAACTCGACCTGGTGCACGACAAAGAAACTGTGGTTGAACTCCATTGTAATCTACTTTAAACTTTTCAACTAATTTTTTAAATCTTTCTTCACTTCAACAAAGAAAAAAAAACAGAACATACAATCATAAAAACTCTTCAGAATCAAAAACATACTTTGGATTTTGTGGAATTCCATCAGCTATTGAAATCGAATCCATTTTAATATTTCTTTTGTTTCTCTGTCGTTAATTTTGAATCTAAAATTTGTCTCATATCATCTTTATCTATGTTTTCTTTTATGTATATATACAAACACGCACAATGGCGTTCTTTTTCTCTTAGCTTTCTTCCATACAAACAATAATAATTCGTCGCATGAAAGACACACTACACACAAGAAAAAAAAGTTACACATATTAAAGGGTTCAATCATACCGAGAGAAAAAAAGTAACAACAAAAAACACAATGACTTTCTATGTCAAAATAGATATAATATTTATATATATATATAGATATATATACATACAGAAAAAGAACAGCAAGAATATTCATATATTTTGTTTGTTTTTCCTAAGTTATTCCTGTTTGATATCAAAGAAAGATAGACTGTTCAATGAAAATAGAAAACAAAAAACAAAAAAAAAAGAAATTTCCGGAATGAAATTCACTTTCTGTCTCTCTCTCTCTCTCTGTGTCATCTTCATCATCATCATTAGAATTTTTTATATCAGACATTCAAATAAACATACATTTTCTTTTCTTCGTATGTTTTTTTTTTCTACGTAAACAAAACACGAAAAAACAACCACCGGTACACAGAAGAAGAAAAGCTTATTGCATCAACAAAGCCATATTCAAATTACATCCCAATGAGATTTTATAGAAAAAACAAACAAACAATATTTATAAGATATGAATATAATGCTATCGTTCTTTAGTTCGTTTTGTTGTTGAAGTTTTTGATACAGAATATATATCTCGTAATGTATTTCCATGATCAAGTAAATTAACAAGTAAACTGGATATTTGTGTTAATTGTTCACAAAAACAACGATGTCGTTGAATATTAGCCTGAAAAAAAATTAAAATATTTATTAAATTCAGACAATATCAATGGATTGATTAATTTATTCCAATTTACTCAATACAAAAAAAAAAGATTATCCAAAACTATCGGAAACGAAACTATGTAATAGTACTGCGAAAGTATTAGAATATATAGATATCGAGATTTATAGTAAATTTCTCGAACAAGAAGATAGTCTTTGAAGAATCACAGATTAGCATATTCAAGCATAAATAAGATACATGAGTAACATAATCGAACGAAGGACAATATTCAACTCTTTGTTTAAACTTCAAATAATATTTCCATTTTGCTTATAACCATCGCAAGCATAAGGATATGCTTTTCCTGCACTTAGATAACTTTTTCTGATGAATTACAGGATGTGCAAGTTCAGTTTACTGACCACTGATTCAGTGTAGTTAACGCATACTAGCACCGATGTTCACTGGAATACACTGCTCCAAAAAGGACATATTCTGATAGAATTGATATTTCAATGTTGCAGCGAACGTAGATGTCAGTACTTCCGTGAACACCGATGCTAGTATAATCTCTATGTCGATGACTCATTGTTCAGTATTTATTTGAGGCTATCGGATTGGTTCAAGTCTGAGGGACTCTAAAATTTACACCGTTACTCCACACTGCTAAATGAACTTCAAGAAAAAATCTGTTACATTTCATGATCCTATTCGAAAGTTTTGATTTTTCTTCAAGAAAGAATTTTCCTTTCGAGAACGATTACAATACATGAGAAGTTTGCTTGTTAATCGAAAATATTTTTTTCTTCAGTCTTTAGTAAATCATCAATAGAAATGTGT